CCCCAAAACCCCAAAACCCCAAAACCCCAAAACCCCGCTAATATGAATTGATGTTGTTATAAACAACTATATTATAAAAATTCGTATTATAACAAATAGGAAAAAATAATGATGATTTCCTAGTCATTAGCAAGCAATCAAACCTATCAAGCTCTTTCAAGCAAGAAAAAACAATAGCTTAAATATCATAGTAGACAACCCTCAGGAGGTGGTCCTAAGTTTATTATGCCAAAAGATAATAGAATTTACAACTAGGATCTCAATGAGACTATAATCAAGCGATAAGTAAATCAATAGCAACAGCAATACTAACAGCAAAATTATTCTCAATATGAGGATGGTAAAAATGAAACTTAGATTCTAAGAGTAAATATGATGCCATTAACTGATTCTTCTATTAAATCTAATAATAAAAATACTTAAAATGTCTCAGGACTTCAGATTTCATTTACAAACCAATCTTAGTTCAACAATGTTAACAGATAGAATATAAACGATTCCAAATACCAATTCGTAAATCAGCATCAAAACATGTACAATAGTGATACTAATCATCTAGGACAAAATATGGATAGTAAAAGGTCTCAGATTTATACTGATATCAATAGTCAGACAAATGATTTGTACCCTTTTTCTCAGAATGAGGAGAGAGATGTATATTCAAACACTGATAACATGATAGACAATGTTTTTGGTGAAAATGAGGTTGATGATACAGAAATAGAGGAGTGCAATTTCATTGAATTTCATAGTGACACTAATCTAAGCCCCCCTGGCCAGCTTAGACCTTTACCTCAAGTCAAATCAAATGAAAGAGTTTAAAGCAAATCTTTCCTTGATGATGGAATCTACAGATAAAATATAATCACATAGAATATTGACAACACTGAAATTCCATAGATAAGCAATAACCAGTAAAATTACATTGGCTACAATTCATAGTAAGAGGAAAAGTATCAAAACTATCTTGAAAGGAAAAACTCCTTATTTAATGAAAGAAGCAACATGCAAGATTAATCTACATTCTCCACTTATGACTAAAACAATAAAAATAAGAATTCATTTATCTACTAATCAAGGCCTTCCAATGTGAGCAAAACTAATACAACTATGTGTGAGGATAAAAATTTCAAAACTTCCGTTGATATAACTTCTAATAAAGAAAACAGTTCATTTGTGGCATAAAACTATTAAGAATTTGAAAAGTCATTGCAAAAAAGCTTTTAAAAACAGAAGTAAATTGATCCAAAGCAACAAAATACAAATTTAAGTAAAAATGTGTTTGACATCTTAATGGCTAAATAAGTTGTAAGCGAGAACTCTTTTAGATATGACAACGATCCTTCAACTAATGCAAACTCTGCTATATAATCAGCAACAAACTTAAGAAATCTGACTTAAAATGAAAGTTAGCAAGTTATTAAACTTCAAAATTTACAATTCGATGATATCAGATCTTAACCTTAATCTAAGTAACAGAAACAACCATTAAAATCTAGTAAATCTACATTTTCTACAGCTAAGCACTCTAGGAAAAATAATAAAAGCTTTGGCTAAGTAAACATGTCAAAGTCAGGAAATAATACCAGAAGGTTGGGGGACATTAAATTTGATGATAAACTTGACAATAAGAATCCTAATTAATCATTCTTATCACCTTAACACAATAAAATAATCTCGACAGATATACTTAGTAATGACTTTGACGATATCAACTAACTATCTTAAGATTACAAAAGGAAGTAGTCGTAGTAGAGTCGACAATCAAACAACATGAAGGAAAAACATAGCATTAATATTGCTTCAGATTCCTTTATGAAAGTTTAAACGTTAGAGATTCACAAGCTCAGAATTTCAAATGCTAAACTAAGAGACAATTACTCAAGGTCATAAAAACGATTGAGAGAAGTTGAATAGGTACTTCACAAGTACAGGAAAGATTAGCAAGTTCATGATATTGTTAAGCAAAAGGATTTTCAATATATTATAAGGGCAGACTAACAGATTGAGTACTACTAAGAGCATTACAATTCTTTGCTTAATAATTACAATAGTAAGGTTTAAAAAATTTCATTATTTATTGTAGAGCAAAAAGATGACAATCAAAAATGCAAAGAAAAGTTATCAAACAGGGATGCTCTAATCCAGGCAACTAAGTTTGCCTTAGATCATGTAATTGAAAATGCGAAGTAAGAGGTCGTGGACTCAGAGAGCAGCATGACGCTCCAGACATTATTCAACATTAGAAATCAATTGCAACAAATATGAATTAAAACAATCAGTTTAGAATTAATGTAACTTAACCGACTTAAAATTACGATCGTTTTCATTTTAATGGGGTTTTGGGGTTTTGGGGTTTTGGGG